GGCAGAGGGGCAAAAGGGTTCCGTTGACTAGATTCGAACCAGCGACTGTTTGCGTACCGGCCCATCACATCAGGTGTCGCACGGCTGTAAAGTGATGGCCAGCGGAGCGCGAAAAATTTCCCCGGGACGGGAGTCGAACCAGCGACCAGGTTCATCCCGGGCCCGGACGCTACCGACTTGGCCACGAAAGAACGATAGTGAGCACCTCTTTCGGGGGCATACATATCTCAGCTGTATCTGACGCCCGAAGACACTTGGCCAGCAGAGCAGGAAAAATGATCGCGGACGGGATTCGAACTACCGACCATCCCCACAATCTGCCAACGATCACGCTCTAACACGCTAGGCTACCAGCTTGCCCCGCCGGGGTCGAGATCTGAGCTTGGTCCTGCCGAACGGGAGACAAGAAGTGACAAAAAAAAAGTTCGCCCCACCCGGGAGTTGTTCTCAGCGCCTCCAGTTTTGGTTCGGATGAAGCTGCATGCGGCCATGTCGATTGTAACCGAGATTAATCCTCGCTCTTCCTTCTACTACGAGGGGGTTGGTAAAGATAGGGATTTTTTTTTAATCCAGGGAAACTGAAAAAAATAGGTGTACGCTTGGATGTAATGACAAGTACTGTACCTCTCTATGCTCAATGCCGCTTGCCCCTCACTCAGGGTTCCTGGCGCCCGGCTCGGAGGAGGTCCCCGGCAACGCGGGGCTGAAGGACCAAGCGGCGGCGCTGCGCTGGGTGCGCGACAACATCCGCCAGTTCGGCGGCGACCCCGGCAGCGTGACGCTGGTGGGCCACAGCGCGGGCGGCGCGGCCGTGCACTACCACACGCTGTCGCCCGCGTCGCGCGGCCTGTTCCACCGCGCCGTGCACCTCAGCGGCTCCGCGCTCAACGCGTGGGCCTTCGCCACGCCCGCCGATGCCCGGGAGCGCGCGCGCCGCCTCGCCGACCTGCTGGGCTGCGGCCGCGGCTGCGCCGACCCGGACGACCTGGTCGCCTTCCTGCGCACCAAGACCCCCTACGAGATCATACACGCTTCTTACAAGGTGTTCGAGCACCAGGTCGGTACAGGTGGCTGAGGCGCCCGCCACGCGCCCGTGTCCCACTGGCGGCCTACTTTTGACTTACACCTCCCTTCCTGCGTCCTATCAGGAAAACGCGGCTGGGTACCTGTCGCCCTTCCTGCCCACCGTGGACGCCGTCTACATGCCCCCGCCAAACAACACCCTGGCGGACGCCCAGGCGGCCTTCCTGCGCGCGAGTCCCGACGAGGCGATGCGGAGTGCCGACTACCACCCGGTGCCCACCCTGGTCGGCCAGAACAGCGTGGAGGGCATGATTGTCATGTTGCCCGACATCATCACGGATGGTGAGGCAGCCCGCGGGCAAAAGTCATTTGCTCGCCGACGGAATATTTCGGCAATCTGACCACTATTGCATCTAACGGTTACCCTTCGCTTTTATTGCAGAAATGAATCCCTCATCGCGCAACTTTAAGCGACTAGATATGGACTTTGAGCGCGTTGTCCCGGTGGAGCTCGGTCTGCAGCGCGGATCGGAGAAGTCCCGTCGCGTAGCGTCCATGATACGGCAGCACTACTTCCAAGGGAAGCCCATCTCAGACGAAACAACCCTCAACTACGTGCAGGTCGGTCCAAAGGTCAAACAACATCTGACCAATTATAAGTTGACGTCTAGGGCCTCCTAAACCACCTTCATTTCCTGCCTACAGATGTACAGCGACCTGCTCTTCACCATCGGCATTGGTCGCTACATACGAGCGCTCGAGGTGCACTCCACTCAGCCCACATTCCTATACCACTTTTCGTTTGACGGAAGACTATCCGTCATCAAGAAGTTGACACGTTCCGAACTGCCAGGTAAATATACTACCGGTCTGATCTAATTTCTCACTCATCGGAGTTCTGCTTTAGCGGCGGTGCGTGCCGCTGGCGCGCTCGAAGGAAGTGGAGACTAAGAATGACTCTTGTCACAGGCGTCTCCCACGGCGACGAGCTTGGGTACCTGTTCCCGGTGGAGATGATGCCTGCGGAGGACGTGCGGCCCGGTGACGTGGACTTGCTGGTCCGGGACAGATGGACCCGCATCCTGGCCAACTTTGCCAAGCACGGGTATGTGTGAACTATGCAGGCCCTGCGGCCTTCGCCCGAAAATTTGCCCCGGCGGAAAACCACTAAACTAAACTTGTTTTTCCTTCAGGTCGCCGTCGGGTCCGCCTTTCAAAATTGACCCGGTGCTCAACACGACGTGGTCACCGAGTACCGCCACTGCGCCAGCGTATGTGGACATCGGCGCGGAACTGACGCAGCACGAGGGATATCCTTTAAGTGACGAGTTTTCCTTCTGGGAGTCGGTTTTTCGTGTGGCCGATAAGACTTTAGAATAGACGAAGAGTAGTAATAGGAAAAATAAACTTGCCATTTCTAGTCCCCATGCAAAAGAAAATTTGCTGTTCAGATGTTATAGCGGCCCTTGTGAAAAGTATGTTTTACCTGACCTGATACCTCTTAAATGGGCAGGCAGTGATAATTTTTCAAAACACTAGCCACTTATTTGTTACGTTTTAGACTGAGTACGCCAGACCCTTGCTAGTCATTATCATAATATTTAAAAGTAATGTATCCAATTGACATTGTTTTAAAACCAAGTGTTTATTCAGAGTTCACAAACCGCAAGCGCGATTTCCTCGCTCAGAAAGGGATCGTCCAGAAAGTTCGTCCGTTTTTCTCAGGCGGGAGCTCGGCGCCTGCGAGACTCAGGGTAGGCCACACCGCAGTACACTCATGCACTGCAGGCATGATATTGCCTACCTACTAGGCGCTATGAGAGCTTACATTGGCCGAACATCGCAATTTCGTGCGGTGAATGACGGACGTACATTCTGGTTGATCACTAATCACTAAGCTCTACGCAGCCAAATGCGGGGCCTTTCAAGCTCTGATTCAACACTTACGTTTTAGATTAGATTAAAAGTGATTTTTGTTGTGACTGATAGAAAAGATAAGAATAAAAATAATATTTAGGATAAGAAGCGATACAAGACAAAGTACCATAATACAACGAAATGATAAAAAACGGTTTGGATTGGTCTTTTGAGAGGAAAAGTAGCTTAATTTGGAGTTTGAAAACAAATGAAAACAACAAATTTAAAAGGGTTGTCAGCTATGATTAGTGAGTGTAACACTATTTCTTACTCACCCAAGTCATTAGACTGTATGGCCTTGTTTCTAAGGCAGTCTTTTCAAATTATTTGTTTTAAATTTAGAATATGGTTTTGTGCTTTTGGTTCAAACTTACCCTTGTCACAACTTTACAAATACCAGTGAGTGTAAAGGTTCACTTTAAAAAATAATAATAAAAGATCGTGTCTTTGTTTCAACTGTTCTAAAATTTCTTTTTCTGTCAATAACATACATTATTTTACAGATCCAATATTCAGGTTAAAAACAGTATGTACATCATTGGAAAATATGTGACAGTTCTTCTGTTCTCATAAACAATTACACCAATTCACCTTTAACCTATAGAAAAATAAACAGGATTTATCTCATGTACAGTATTTAGAAGCAGGTTCTTCATAGATTTCTTAATAGACTTAGAATATTCAACATGTATAAAATAAAACAAATGAATAATTTTATTGCTTGCAAGCAAAAAATTGAAGGCTCTGGTTTCTTTCAAGAAAACTAGATGCAGAAAAAGAGTTTTGGGAATGAAGCCCAAAAGTATGGCCAATTATCAATAAATGATTAATGTAAAAATCACTTCACAAACATAGCAAATAGCTGAAAAAACACACTTTTAAAGGTTGTATTTACTCCCTATTATCACAATTTTAAATCATCAGCTCTTACACTCATGTATTGACAAAGAGTGTGAGCTGTTCACAAAGAAGTAGGCAATGCACTCACTTAAGACTATGTAAAAAGACGGAATGTATCAATTTAATGTCACACTGCTGTCATTCAAAAACAGCATCTCAAAATCTCAAAACTAACTTGGAACAAATCAAACTTTAACTGAGTCACATTTTCAATTTGAAT